GAGGGGCGGCCGGGGCTGGGTGGCAGTCAGGGCTGCTAAGCCCTCCTGGGCGCTGCCAGCCCCTGTGCTGGCTCTCAGGGCGGCCCTTACACCCTCTCCCTCCCCGCCGCCGTTACTGAGGCGGTGCGGGCCGGGGCTGGGCGGATAGCGACTGGAGTAGCGATATTTTTTTGACCTGTTCCAGATCCTTGCAGTAACTGCTTCTTTGAGGCGGTTTCTTTCTAATGCTGGTAGCCAAGTCAACGCACTCGCTATCTGTAGTTCATCTGAGTAAAAGTTAATCCTGTGTCGCCGCTTTGCAACTGCTTGTAGTAACCGCTTAGCCTGGGGATCTGTGCCGGGAATATCTCTTCAAATGTTTAAGATAGCAGCCTGTTAAGTTTGTGCTGGCTAATGTAACTGCCTTTTATAGGACTCTGTGCGTACTGTGTTGAGCTGAACACGTGAAACTTTGAAATATTCTTTGTAAATGTATTTCATTTGAATGCAGCTGTTAAGATACCTTTAAGGCAAAAAATGCTACCGAATTCAATGCTTGTAAAACCAGATGTGTTCATGAGACACTTCAGGATGTGGTTTCATGGTACGCTTAATTTGGTTGAGCTAGGCTGCTAATAAAAGGCAGGAGCAGTGCTCTTCTCATTACCTCCAGCAGCGTCCCTGCCACCATGCCTAATGGTATTGCAGGTGTGTGGGGTGATTCAAAGGCTTGGTGGTTGTTTTGGAGGAAAGGGTGTATTTGCTTGTCAGTTGATTTAGTTGTAATGTGGAGCTCTTCCTTGCCCTATCTACACCTACTCTCATCCTATCTAAAAGATCTAGCATCCATCAGCTGTTGCACATACATATGCTCTCTTCTGTATTGTACTGTAAAAATACAAAATATAAGACACAAGTCTTTTATTATATTTTGTATGTTATAAAGACTTGGGCTGTGAAGACAGGGGAAGAGAGAGAGAGATATGTATTGCTGGAAGTGATGTTACATTTTAAAAACCACAGAACCCTAATGGTTTTTGTGGTTGCAAGTAGGTAATATGGGCAATATTTTTAGATGTTCTTGTATTTAACAGGAATGAAGTTACTGAGTTGTCGAGGGTCATATTTTTAAATTTCTTCATAATTTACAAATCTTAATGAGTCTGTTTTAGTTGATTGAAAGCAAATGATAGTGCAAAGTCCAAATAGAAACCAAAACACTTTAATCACAGACATATGCAATTAGCAGCAGTAACAGCATCATATATATGCTAACAGTTGAGATGTAAAGGAGAGAGTACTCATGTTGGTGTCTGCATGTCTGCAAAGTAGTCCAACAGCACTCTGTTATTACTGTGCAAATCTTGGAAAGAGAGGTTGTTGTGCACTAGGAAGCCACTGGAGTGCAGAGTAGCATCAAAAGTGCAGAAACACTGCTGTTGCAACAGGATGCAAACATGCTTTCAAGATGGTAGAGAGGTAAAGAAGTTTGTGTCTGCAATCCGTATTATGGCTTATTTTTCACCTAATAGTTGAGGGAATCAATTAAAATGAACAATTAAAAACAACAATGGCATCCTGGGGTGTATCAGAAGGGGTGTGGTGAGTAGGCCGAGAGAGGTTCTCCTCCCCCTCTACTCTGCCCTGGTGAGACTGCATCTGGAATATTGTGTTCCGTTCTGGGCTCCTCAGTTCAAGGACAGGGAACTGCTGGACAGAGTCCAGTGCAGAGCCACAAAGATGATCGAGGGAGTGGAGCATCTCCCTTACGAGGAGTGGCTGAGGGAGCTGGGTCTCTTTAGCTTGGAGAAGAGAAGGCTGAGGGGTGACCTCATTAATGTTTATAAATTTGTGAAGGGCGAGTGTCAGGAGGAAGGAGCCAGGCTCTTCTCTCTGATGTCCAATGACAGGACAAGGGGCAATGGGAGCAAGCTGGAACATAGGAGGTTCCATGCAAACATGAGGAAAAACTTTTTTACTGTGAGGGTGACAGAGCACTGGCACAGGCTGCCCAGAGAGGTTGTGGAGTCTCCTCTGGACACATTCAAGGCCAACCTGGACACGTTCCTGTGTGACCTAGTTTAGGTGATCCTGCTCTGGCAGGGGGGTTGGACTGGATGATCTTTTGAGGTCCCTTCCAACTCCTGAGATTGTGTGATTCTGTGAACAATTGATGTATGAATGGAGTATTAAACTCAAGTCTGTACCATATGTTGCTGTACTGTGCTTGTCTTCATCACTCCATCTGTGGGGTTATTCTGTTAGAATTTTATCTTCTTGTTTTGCTTCTACTATTTTGAAGGATTACGATTATAACTTCTTGTTGTAATGGCTGCAAGTATCCTTTCTGATATTAACATTGGGGTATGCTTGGTTTTGTCCTGAGGTTGTTTAGAGGAATAATGGTCTTATATTGTGAGGGAAAACCTGTAATACATTCTTTCCACTGTTCAAGTGAACATAACATGGAGTGATAATCTCCACTGTAATTTGGAGATAATTTTCTGCTGAATTTTAACCTTATTATAGTGAACTCGAATGACCAATATAATTGACTGTTTAATGCAAAATACTACTCCCAGGTATGAAACATACCTACAGCATTCATTGATCATTGAGCACTAATAATGGACTTTACAAAATTGTTTTAAGCCTTTAGAATAGTTAGTTCTGTTTCAAATTGTCTTTCTTTTTATAAACTGGGGTATGTTTGTTAAGAAGCCCTACATCTCCAGAGAATTTCTTGCTACTGAGAACTGTATTATTGGCTTTTCAAATGAAAAAGGAAGTGTTCAGCTGCAGAATTTGCTGTAGTTGGTCTTTCTTAGTACTTAAGAAAAAGCAGTATCGTTGCAATGCATTGCTTAAGTTGTATTGTGCTTGTAAATTAAGATTGTTTTTTGAAAATCTTTTATTCTGTCTTTTTTGTTTTAAAATAGTGCTTATATTGCTATCTATGGATATATTTTTATATGAAAAGACTATTCTGACTACTGTTGTCTTTATCTGCTTCCTTCCTTCCTCTCCACCCTCCAGAGCAGTACAACTAAATATGAGGCGATCAGCAGCTCCAAGTCAAGTGCCAGGAAATGTAGCCAAAAAGCCAAGGTTTATGCCACCAGCAAGAAGTACCATAGCTTGTCTCAAGAATGAAAAAAAGGAGGTGGATGAAGAAATGAAATTAAAGGAGGTGAGGTAAACTAAACAGTGCACTAAAAAGTGCATTTGTTTGTACAGTCTTCTTACTAAAAGACAGCATCTGAGCTCGCCACAACCAATCTCTGCTTACATCAATCTGTTCAGAATAGATTTTGATAGTTTTGCCCTTATTACATTTGATCTTGCTTCTCAGGTAGGCTTCTCTCTGTGAAGTGCAGAAAAATGTTTTTCAAATAAATAAAAATAATGAGTATTAATCCCAAACACAATTCTCAGTGTAACTAAGGTATGGATTGCATTTGGGAGTAGGCATTTTTGGATTAAAATGTTTGTAATGCTTTGGTAAAAGGAGGTAAAAACCAAGATACTTAGTAATGAAATGTCAGTACACTGAGTTGCAGTTTTGCTGCAAACAACTTCCTATAAAAGCTTCAATATTAACAAAAAAAATTCACAGTTTTTATTGTTTTTTTTTCTTTTTTTAATCTACAGAAGACTTCTATTAAATTCATAAACTACTTGCACAAGTGGTGTTTGGTATTGTATGCATGCACTTTTTGTTGTGAACACTGGAATGCATATATTTGTGTAGGGTTGTATAATCTTTATGTAGATAGTTTGATAATGAGGATTAACATCTTTCAAGATGTCTTCTTGTTGCTCTTTTCTCCATTTCTCTTCAACTGCATGAAGGAAATGCTATTGTGAACTTGTTTCTCTTTTGCAGATTGATGAGAAAGAGGAAACTGCTTCATTGCTTTATAAAATATATGGCCAGAATGAAAATGCAAATTTTACACAGTCTGTGGAGTCAACTGGCAAAGTAAAGACTACAAAAGCATGTTTCAGCGTTAGTAAGTGCAGCAAGGTGGAAATGAAAATGCTAAATACACCCAAACCTGGTAAGCTGCTCTTTCTTATTTACTGCCATGCATCATAAGAAAATTGTAAAGCTTATGAATGATACGCTGCTTTTGTGAAATACTAATACAAGGGTCAAGCAATGGTGGCATTATTTAGTGTTCTACTGGGTAGAGAGTGAAATAAACATTATTTTTTTTTTAAATCAGAAAAGGAAAAAAGTGGACATTTTAGAAGCCAGCTGATAGTGCCTCTATTCAGGTGTGTGTCTTCCAGAAGAGCACTATGGTCAACTCACTCTAATCCAGAGTAATATCAAGACAAGAATTGGGATACCCTAAGTAGTGGAAAAGCATTGTAATGTGGAGACCTTTGCTTGACTAATCTTACCTCCTTTTATGACG